TGCTGTCTTCCTGAGTGGACATACAGTAACTGCACACCCTGGCTTCTCTCTCATGAAACTAACTCCTGGCTAGAAATGTTTCCTTTCTGTACCTCTGAACGTACGGTAGTTTCTAACTGAACACTGCATTACCTTTTATTCTGTTGTTGTATTTTTAGGAGAAATCAGAGAACAGAATGGTGATAGCCTTGTCCATGCTGCTATTGTCACAGAAGGAGCTGCTGTTGGAAGTGCAGAAGCAAATGCGTTCAGTGTTCTTCAGCATGTTTTAGGTGCTGGACCCCTTATCAAGAGGGGAAGCAATGTTACCAGCAAATTGGCCCAGGGTATTGCTAAAGCAACTACTCAGCCATTTGACGTGAGTTCAAAGAGTTTCTCTACTCTAATATTTTAAGTAAAATGCATACTATCCTTAGAGAGGTTACTACTTCAGCTAGAATCTTTATTAGTTTTTTCTTGCACAAGTTACAGTATTTCAGAGAAGGCCTTCCAATTTGATCTTTCCTCTGCACAGATGGAGTTTAGCTTCCTGAATTATGGTATTTTAGATCCTAACAGTAATTACTTTCCTATGCTTGATGCTGAGTTGTTCTGATACTTGAAACGGTTGGTGTAATGTTTGTTTTGCAGGCTTCCGCATTTAATGTTAACTACTCTGATTCTGGGCTCTTTGGGATTTATACCATATCCCAGGCTGCAAATGCTGGGGAGGTGAGTTGCTGATTAGAATTTAAGTATTAGCAACATAACTTTCAAACTAGTGTTTTGATTTGAGATAGTGACTGATTCATCTAGAAAAAATCAATTCATATGGTTTCTTGTATAAGAATGCTGCATGTTCAGTTAATGACTTAACTCTGTAAGCTGGGAATGAGACTTGCTTTCTGGGAAGTACAAATACCTAATACGAACTAGAACTAGTAAAATACCTTGAATTGCTGACTGTAGTTTCTGATTTACATGTGTAAGCCTAAGCATATCATGAGGAATGTGCTGGCTCTCGAAGCTGGCAGAACTGAATACTCTCATGAAAAATGGTGAGACCATGCAAATTAATGTGGTGTTGCAATTTAAATCCACGCTGTTTTTTGTGTCTCACTTGGGCATTTATTACAGTGGTTTTAGTTTTGTTATAAAGCTATTCAGAATTGAGTTCAGGAAGACAATCCCAACACTGTCACCTGCTCTCCCCTGAAGTTTCTAAGATGTCAGATAATAGAAATAACATGTTGACATTTAATGCAGGAAGAAGTCTTAAATGATGTCATTATCCTCAGGTCATTAAAGCTGCTTTGAACCAGATAAAGGCAGTTGCTCAGGGCAGCGTCACCAATGACGACGTCATAAAGGCAAAGTAAGTGAGTAAAGGACTGTCTTGTGTGTTGTGAAGAGAAGTTTCTTAACAGGTAGCTACTTGTCAAACACTTAAACTATTCTGTACTGCAAAGCTTATCGTTGTCCTCTATTTCCGTGGGGAACTACTCACTTCCCTGCCTTAAAATTGAAACATTGTCAATACTTCTAGTAAAATTCTTCAAAAGCTCCCCCCCCCCCCCCCCCAAGCTACACTGATTCTCTGCTAGTGGTATTTCCTAATAAAAACTTGTTAGATAAGTTGTAACGTTTTCTGAAAACTGTTTCAATGTAAGAAATCAGCAAGTATCAGCAGATGCTGTCGTTTTAATCATACTCTGTAGTATTAAGATGTATTTAAATTAGAATTCTAAATTGCATTATTTAGGTAATTCCTTTTACAGTCACACTGTGGCAATTCCCCAAATGATTATAGTAAGCAATCTTCTGCATCTTCAAAGAGTAGTAGTAATGAGGGTCTGCAAGTGTAAAGCGCTGAATTAGTGATGTTACATTCAAGTGCTCGAAATACGTGCCCCTAGGAATATTTGAGATGGGGGGAAATTATTATTAGAGATGCAGTAACACCAACAAAGTTTGAGTTTCTAATTTATAGAGGGTTGTGCACATTAGCTGGTGCTTGATCTCCAAGTAGTTTTAAAATGCACTGAGCCTCTCAAACTGTAGTTGTGCAATACAACAATATAGTACAGATTCACTCAAGTAGAAATATTAAAAATACTCTGTTGCATATATAAAATACTTACAAGACTCCACCTAAAGCTTGATTACACAAAACATGATAACCTGGACATGATTGGTTGAGCCTTAGTCACTAGTAGCTAAATGGTGAATTCTGGACCTTTATATTTGGTGTTATGTTGGTCTCTTTTTTGGTCTTTTTTTTTTTTTTTTTTAAAGAAGCTGCCTAGTATTGGGGAGTTACAGTGCTGTGGCTTTTTTTTTTTGTTTGCCTTCTTGAATGGCTTCACGTATTTTCTATTGCTTTTTTTCCTTTAGTGACCAAAAAAAAAACCCAAACCCAAAAAACAAATTCAAAGTCAGTGATATTTGCAGTGTCTTGCAATTCAGTCAAAAATACCAAGCTATTTCTATTGGAATAAACCATTTTCTGCCATTTTGATTTTTAAAAAAGAATAGAAGGACTAGCTTATAAAAATAAGATTTTCATATGTAGCAGTGAGACTGTGTGTTGCGGTTTAACCTCAGTTGGCAAGTGAGCACCACGCAGCCGCTCGCTCACTCCCCTTCAGTGGGATGGGGGAGAGAATCGGAAGGGTAAAAGTGAGAAAACTCGTGGGTTGAGATAAAGACAGTTTAATAGGTAAAGCAAAAGCCGCGCGTGCAAGCAAAGCAAAACAAGGAATCCACTCACTCCTTCCCATCGGCAGGCAGGTGTTCAGCCATTTCCAGGAAAGCAGGGCTCCATCACGCGTGATGGTTACTTGGGAAGACAAACGCCATCACTCCGAATGTCCCCCCCTTCCTTCTTCTTCCCCCAGCTCTATATACTGAGCATGACGTCCCATGGTATAGGAATATCCCTTTGGCCAGTTTGGGTCAGCTGTCCTGGCTGTGACCCCTCCCAGCTTCTTTGCACCTCCAGCCTTCTCAGTCGGTAGAGCATGGGAAGCTGAGAAGTCCTTGGCTAGTGTAAGCATTACCTAGCAACAACTAAAACATTGGTGCCTTATCAACTTTGTTCTCATCCTAAATCCAAAACACAGCACTGTACCAGCTACTAGGAAGGAAATTAACTCTATCCCTGCCGAAACCAGGACACTGTGTGAAACAGAAAAAGCAGTATAAACTTGCTGTGTTTTAACAGAACATGGAACTATTGCACACAGAACCTAACCTTTTACATTCATTGCTGTTTTGTTGCTTACAACAAAATTGCTCTGCATACATCTGTCCTTGATGAGAAACTGAAATCAATTTTAAACCTGATTTTTAAACTTGATAGTTTGTCTAATTCCTGGAGTACCTGCATTAGCTACTTCAAACAGAAGCAAATTCTGAGCTAGACATCTTCTGACTGTGTGGGGTGGCTGATCATTCCAAGGCTGTAGGTGTTCACGTACCCTGTCATTTTCATGCTTGGGCTATTTATTTGTGGTGCCTCTTTCCTAACTACAGAACCCTTCCATACTTGAAAAGGAAAACATTTCAAAACAGAGAGGAATCTTGAAAACTTAAAAAGCACCAGAAACTCATTGCACTTACGGGGGTGGTGGGGAACATAAAAACAGGACTTACATGCTCACTCATCCTTAATGCTTTGTTTGATGGCAGAAACCAGCTGAAAGCCACCTATTTGATGTCAGTGGAGACTGCAGAAGGGTTACTGAATGAAATTGGCTCAGAGTCATTGGTTTCTGGCACACACACATCACCATCTGTTGTTGCTCAAAAAATCGACTCTGTAGCCACTGCTGATGTTGTGAATGTAAGTATGTGTTGGCATCTACAGGTGTTCCTTAATCACTGTGTAACATTGTTTTATACAAAACTAGTGCTTGTTTGTGTGTGTTTATAAACAGACACATACACTGTCTTTAAAAAAAGCAACTCATTTACAAATCCCAGCTGGCTATCTTTATTAACAGAAGACCCTTTAATCCAATACACTGTAAAACTAGCGTAGCTGGAAGTATGTGAAATTCTCATCTACTTCACTTAAATTTACCAAAACTGCCAACTAGTATTCTTGGAAAACTTGCTATTAGTTCCAGTGCAGGCACTTCTGCGTCAAGGCTTTTAGCATTCCTGAGTCTAGAATATTTGGTGTGCTTAATAAAACAATTAGGCTTTCAATGATAAATTGACATAACTGCATTGCTATTCCAAATTACCTTGTTGCTTATACTTAAGCAAACTTCATACAGAAATCCATCAGAAGGAGAAATTCTAAGATGAAAAACTTGTTTTTTCACAGTCACCACTAATTTGTGTGGCAGTAGCAATTAGCAATAGCTTTAGTAGTAAGGAGAGATCCACTGTGTCTTGTGGTGTAATAATTATTCTAGGAATAACCATTTTCAAAGAGTTCATGCCTTATATCCAACTGTCATTCTGCCATTCCTGTTTAGATTATAGTGACAAGGAGCTAGATCAGAAGCAAGTAAGTTTAGACAGCAAAAGGAAAATTGTTTACTTGATGATGTACTATAGTAGTGTTGAGGTTTGTTGTTTGTTTTAATAACTTGAGGCTGAGGCTATGAGCAGCAAGATAAATGGTGTTGTAGTGAATATTTCCTTATATCCATCTTTCTGATTTATTTTCAGGCTGCAAAGAAGTTTGTCAATGGGAAGAAATCAATGGCAGCTAGTGGGGATTTGGGAAACACTCCTTTTCTTGATGAGTTGTAAAAACAAAACTGGGATGTGGATTCAAGATGGACCTGAGCTTTAAGTCACCTGTGTTCTAAATAAATTACTACTAACATGTTATTTATTAATTCAGTTCTTTCAGAAAATTAATCTGGAGTAATTGTGGGCTTGCACTCATCAAATAAAGTGCTGAGTTCCTACATTTTGTGCGAAGGTTTTTTCCACTGAAAATTATATCTAAACTGCTGATAAGTGGCTCTGTACACTGAATGTAAAACTACAGTGAGAAAATAAGGTGAATTTTAGTTGATGTAAAAAATAGAGATATCAAGAATTATCATTGTGATGCAGACAAATACTGTAATTGCCACTAATTGTCCACGTATTCAGGAGAAGTTCTTGATAATTGTCTGCACCATCCTTATATCAAGTAAATGAAGAACATTACCTTCAAACAAAGATGAATATATTGGACCTTAGAGCTTGTAACTGCTACTCGTCTAGGACTAGCAGAGGTAGTGTTTCTGAATGTCTTCTCCACAAGTAGCATTGATGGGCATCTTTGATGGTAGGGAGGGCATTGCTAAAACAGCTTTATATAGCTCATATATTATTTTGTATATCTTAGGACATTTAGGTTTTTTGGAAGTCTAGGCATGTGCTAAAACAGGTAAGATACAACTTCAGAAATCTAGGTTTTGAAGAAGTCAAGTTTTGAGCTATTCTGAAACAAAGGCAAATTCTTCCAGATAGGATGTCTCTGATACAGAAGGGCAGGAAGAAGAGGAACTGGTCTCACTGTTTTCCATAGCCCAGTATGAGGGAGGTCTAACACCACTGGCATCGAACTTAGGATTGCACAAGGCATCAACATCATTATGAAGTACAGCATCACAACCAGTGTCTGTGCGTACTCTAAGTGTCTGGCCTGTATCAGATATCTGCCAAATTTTGGATATTGATGGTAACTTACGAGTGAACTCACAGCAGTATGACTGGGAAGATTTATACTGAAAAGTTTCCAAGTCTGCATCATCATCGCTACTGGACCTGGTGGTGTCTTCATCCTCAGCATCTTCACTTCTGCTGGAAATACACAGCATGATATTACTTTAACATGCAATAATTCCCATAGCTATTTAGTTAACTAATCATGGAGTCCTAAGTTTTTTGTGAATACTTGTTCTAAAGACAAGTTCATTAGTTCTGAAGCTCCTCTAATATCAAACTAATACTATTGTCCATAGTCCTTTGCACACAGTTTCCTTTGGACTCTAAAGTAATAGCTAAGTTGTAATTCGGTCAATAGAAAAGCAAGCTATCCTTCTTCTGCTCCTTCAGAATAGCAAATAATTGATTTATTTAAACATAAGCTTAGAGGTTTAATCTCTTGGAAAGCCCCTTGCTGCGTGAGCTTCCTTTCTGCTGTTCTAGCCTAATTATCTCCTTTCAATACTTCTGTTCCTTCCCCTACCTCTGAGGTTTCTTCTCTGTTAAAAGTTTTCCTGAGGCACAAAGTTTTAACTGCCTTGTATCCCATCTAGATTAATTATACTTGCTATATGAGCCACCTTTAGGATTGAGAGCAATGTATTTTTAAAAGCTTCTGTATGCAGTGGCTCTCAGAAGAAGAGTGTTTTTTTTCCTTAAGTTTAATTTTAAAAGTCATAATCATTAACCACTTGTCAGTAGTTAGACCAATTAAGAAACAGATAAGCTTTTTACATGGTTGTAGCAAGACCTCCATCTTGATATCATCAGCTACTTGTAATTGTCTAGATCCTTGGCTATTATGGTTGACAGGGCCTCTTTGACTTCAGTGGCCATTATTGCCAGCCAGACTTTTTATGGTCTCTGTGGAGGTGGGAAGGGGCATGTCTAAAATTAATGTTTGTCCTGACCCTGTTTTCACTGTAACTAGAAAAGTAAACTTTTCTTTTGGTATTTGTTAATTTCAAATCACAGTTTTCTATTGCAGAAAAATAAATGAAAGTAAATCCTTAGACTAACGTTTTATCCTAAAATGAAAAAGCTATTATGCTATTTCTTGTTTCTTGCTATAATACTAAGCAAGGTGTGAAATTCTAGTTGTGTACAATACTTATTTCTTACTCTGCTGTCATCACAGGAAGCTTTGCTTCAGGAATTAATTCAACTGCACTTTGCCAGCATTGAGGTACTTCAACAAAATCTCTGTAAACTCTGATTTGTACAGTAGTTCCTACAGGAATATTGTGCAGGAGTTGCCTAAGCTCTCTGAGAGTCCATCCTAAAACGTCAGCATATCCAATTTTTATTAGAACATCACCTGCCAAGGAAGAAAATTGGCAGCAATCAGTTTAAGAGACTTGTTTGGGTTTTTTTAATGTTCGTATTACAAAATATGTAGTCTTAACCACTTTCACATTTTTATGTAAAAGCATGTGTTCAGCAGCTCTTCAAACCAACTGGATGCAATTTTTTTTTTTTTGCTTCCTTTTTTAATGAAAGGTTTTTTTTTTTAATCTCTGTTAAGAACTAACCTTTTCACAGCACTAAGGAAAGCTGCAGTTCACTTATTTACTTTGGGATTTTTCTGAGCAAATGTGCTGAACTTTAGATTGCCTGTTCAGTGCTACCTTCCATTTCCATAGGGTTTTTTAGGCAAGATAAAGGTACAATGGCGCATGCTCTAATCAGGACCACTACCTGGGACCAGACAGACTCCAGCAAGTTTGAGCTGAGATCACATAGCTGCACTCCAAACAGTTCTGCTGGCATCTTTCCACTGCTTCACTGTACCCTTTCACAGCTGGAATACCCTGTCTATACATATCTGCTGCCTACCCTTGTAAGTCACCTTGCTGTTTTATCTGTTGGTATGGAGCCAAGCGTACCCCTTCCTCCACAGTGGTTAAGTTTACCTAGGTGGATGCTGGAGAATCCGTGTAACAGCCGTGCCACCTTATGTTTGTCTGGGCCCCCGGAGTTTTCCAGGGTTTGACTGTCTTCAGTGGCTGGTGCCTGTCCCTCCACTCTGAGAACAAACAACACGTGGACCCATCGCAAGACAAAGTCAAGCGAGGCCAGGGGAGAAGTAGGAGATGCCTGCAAGAGCTGGTGCAGAATCTAACCGAGGAGTTCCAGTAGAAAGCAGTGGTGACGTTTTGTGTGTGTGTTTGTTTGTTTTAAGGGATAAGGCTACAAATAATGTTCTTATTACCTGCTGCCAGTGGAAAGCACTGAGCTGGAGTTTGCAAAAAGCAGTACCTCATCCAAGAACAACAGAGTACAGAAACCCCAGCACCTATATATACCATGGGGTATAACAAGATGGGCTTCGAGAGGTTGGGGGAATTGCAATTACTGTGTAAACCTGTAATTTTGGAGACTGCAAAAGGCAAGCAGAATCAATCTGCAGCAGACTACAGCTCTATCAGCAGCCTGGCAGAAACAGTTGCACAGAGGAGCAGTATCAGTAAACATTATGTACTGACAGAACAGCATAGGGGATTTAAACAAGCAGTACAGCTGTCTGCTGCCATATTAGGCAGAACAAGGAGCCTCTCTCCATCTGCTCTATTTTCTTCTTAACCCTTTTGGGTTAAAAATGCCTGTAGCAAAAATTTGCAGGCTTTAAAACTGTTTACCTGAACTACTATGATTTTTTTCATTCACTTTCTACTAACTGCTCCTACTCCATCACCATAACACCTTCTCTCTACTCTAGCTTATCACAAGATACTGGTTCTACTGGGGTGCAAACAAGAAGCTGTGAAACAAGTACCAGGATAGCAGTTACCAAAAAGCAACAGGAAACATTTTACCAAGTTTTATGTATGTTCTCAGCCTCAAACAGAAAGGTAAATCACCCAGATTACGTGTTTCAAAATGCATAGACATAAATGTACTTATGTTTTAAAATATCTGCAAGAGACTCTTGGCTTTTAATAGATTCTTTCATAATTCTGTTTTTTCTGCCTATACTGTGCTGATAACACTGTTGTGGCGAGTCAAAGCCATCTCTGAACTGCAGACGTAGACAATTTCGCTCCTCTGCTCCAGCATCTAGAGTCTGAACCGCCCAGCTTTTCAGTTCACCTATCAGTTTTGTGTTTGCTATCATTCATTGGCCACTGAAGATTAA